TCCTGGGAGGAGGTCCCCTGCATTGCCATACTTCGAGTGACAGCTCTAATCCCAATCCAATCATCACACAAGCATTATCCATGGTAATGACTTCCTGGGAGGAGGTACCCTGCATTCCCATGATTTGAGTGACAACTCTACCACCCATTCATCACACAAGCATCGTCAATGGTAATGATTTTCTGGGAGGAGGAACCCTGGAGTTCCATGCTTTGAGTGACAACTCTAACACCCAATCATCACACAAACATTATCAATGGTATGACTTCCTAATAGAACATCATACATCAGCACTATTTTTATGCATGGCAATTTATCTTTTTTTTCCTTTCTCACAGCAATTCTGTAAGGTTGGATGAGAAGTGATGAGTGGCTTTGTGTGTTAACAATAAATTCTGGATTCTTGAGTTTAGGCCTAACACTCTAGGCACAGAGAATCAAATGAACAGCACGTAGGGACTTCCAATTCCTTTCCAAGCTTCCACAGAATTGGCAGAGATTTTATTCTCTCAATTAGTCCATTTCTATCACAGCTGATGCACCATGCTGGCTCCTTAATTGAATTTCATTCTGCTTTGTGTTAGTTCCAATGCCTCCCATAATAGAAAGGGCTTGGAAAGCAGGGGGCATTTTATGTGAATATATGTTATTATATATTTATTGAATGAAACTGTTCTTTTAAAAAGATAACTCTGGAGAAAGATTGATAATTTGTAACATGAACAGTTTTATTTTAATCCTTGATTTAGCCTCAGATCAACCCATTAAAACAGCTATGGAAGCTAAAATATAATTTCTGCACTTGGGTATCCATTCCAACTTTTTCTCTGGTTGAAACATATATCCATTATTTTCACTGTTGTAATTGGTTCAATCTGAACAGAAGGCCAGTTGCTATGTGATTACTGCTATCATGTCACCCCTAAAACTTCTCTTCGTTAGGTAGACATACCTAGTTCCCTGAACCGTTCATCGTAAAGTTTCGTCTCTAGATCTCTTATCATTTTTAGGTCTCTTTCTTGCATTCTTTCTATGTACCTACTGTGTTTCCCCAAAAATAAGACTGGGTCTTATATTAATTTTTGCTCCAAAATACACATTAAGTCTTATTTTCTGGTTAGGTCTTATTTGGGGGGGAATACTTATTATTTATTTTTATTTTATTTTTATTAGTCATATTTCTATGCCGCCCACTCTCCAAGGACTCTGGGCGGTTTACACCAAAGACAGTATACTAAATAGCATATTGCCCCCTAACAATCTGGGTCCTCATTTTATCCACCTCGGAAGGATGGAAGGCTGAGTCAACCTTGAGCCGGTGAGATTTGTTCCGCTGATCTGCTGAACTAGCAGTCAGCTGAAGTAGCTGCAGTACTGCACTCTAACCACTGCGCCACCTCGGCTCGGTACCAAATGCATCCATCTGGCTGACAATCTTAACTGGGGCTTATTTTGGGGGGTAGGGCTTATATTACAAGCATCCTGAAAAATCATGCTAGGACTTATTTTCCGGTTGGGTCTTATTTTCAGGAAAACAGGGTAAATAAGTAGCCTTCTGCTTCTTTTGATTCAGACCATATAGGACTATTTGTACATGTCAGCAGTCAAAGTGACTGATTGAATCTCGGCAATGTCTCAACATGCCATAAATTTCTTCTCTGCAAATGGGTGGATCTCTTCAAGATAGATGAAGTGCATCCACCAAGCCTTAAGGCATACTTGAAGATGAATAATAAACTTACATCAAGCTTTTCTGGATCGGATAGGCTTAGATATTTTGATAATGAATGAATGAATGAATGAATGAATGAATGAATGAATGAATGAATAGTCTTCCAAATCACAGTGCTTTGATGCTGATGTGCCGGTTATATTTCTGGACTTATCCATATTAAATTAATCCTAGATGTATTTTAAAGCTAAACAAAGAATGCAGATTATCTATAGTAAAGGATAGAAAAATCTAAAGACCTGGTTTATGTTGTTGATTCTAGGAATTTTGTAAAATCTGAGGACAGCCCATCAATGCATTATGATTTATGAAGTGCTAAACTGCACACCAAATATTATTTTGCTATTGTTTTGGGTCCTATCTCCTTCTTATTTGGAAAAGAACTATATAAATCTCTATAACTTTTATCTATATCAAAGGTATCCAGTCTTCAAGTTGAGGGTTGCGCTACACCGCCGAGCAGCCACTGGTTCTGTACACTTATTCATTTATTTACTATTGATGGTTTTGTAGATAATTGTTCTGACCTAGGCTTCCTGAGAAAGCCTAAATCACAATCTTAGTCCCAAAAAACCTCTTATATTGATTCACAAACAATCTGTGAAGATTCTGACAGATGTCTGCTCGAGTTAACACAGTCTTTCAGGGTAATGTTGATAAGCACTCACCTTTATCTCCCTTGAAACGCTGCCAGAGACCTAATTGTCAATTAGTTTTGCAAGGCCAAATGGAGCACAGAGTCAAACTGACTTCTCAGAGCTTGAATTGACTATATGGAATAATTGCTTCCTGCAAAGACTCATGTCCATTTGTGTTCTGCCCCAGCTACGGATCCCAAAGAACGCAGCACACACAAACTCCAAACAAAACTCAGTTTACTTCAAAGCGCAGTCTTTTGCAAATGCAGGCTGTTAATAAAATGTTCTTAACAACCTGCCCGAAATTCCACAGATAAGATAGAGTCTTACAAGAGTTGGCAGATAGCCCAGAAGCAAAGTTTGCAGAGAAAATCCAAACTCAATGATCAGCGAACGAACGAACGAACACATGTTGTTTCCTGCAGCTTTTTACAAGCTATGTGCAAACTTAAATAGGTTAAGGGAGTGGCCAATTAGCCCCAAGCCTTACTCTCAAGGAGACCTCCTCCTGACCTTTGGCAGCTCTGCGTGCTCGTACATTGAGAAGAGGCTCCTCCACTTCATCCTCTTCACTTAAAAGAGCCTCTGGAGGTTCTGAAGGCCCTGGCTGAATCCCTGCCTCTGGCACCATATCTTCTTCAGTCTCCTCACTGCCCGACTCGAGCGCCGGCTACACAGGCTGCTGGCGCGACATCACACCAGCCTCTTCGTTGTCGGGATCAGCAACAATCCGTGCAGGCCACTGGAGGGCCACAACAATTTGCTCCTCTTTTATGTCTTATGGGAGGGGCCAATCATCTCCAAGCCTTACTCCTGAGTTGCCCTTTTTTTTCTTAATTGTTCTTTCCTTCTGGCAGCTCTCCGCATGCGCACACTGGGAACAGGCTCACACTGTTCTTCTGCCTTGCTGATGTCAGATTCCAGAGGCTCCAGAGGCAGCACATAATTACCAGATGGCCCTGTCCCCCTCTCTGCCTCCGACACAGAGCCCTCGTCAGGCTCCGTCCCAACATTCCTCCCCAACCTCCTCACTGTTCGAACCTGCTGCCAGCTCTGCTGGCCGCTGGCGGGCCACAACAATAACAACAATGTTATTCAATTATTAATGTATATAGTCTCTTAGAAAATGGTCCCCAGATGAAAAAGAAAGACTAACTAGAATCTCCTAGTAGGCCACTGATTTGTCCTAGATTATATAATAAATTGATCTATTAAATTATTACAATATCATAATTTAATAATGTAATGTAGCATGTAGCGTAGAATATTACAATAAATTATCATTTGCCATCCAGAATTGCTCAATAGTGAAATGGGCGGCATATAAATTTAGTAAATAAATAAATAAATACCTTCTAAGGCAGGGGTCTCAAACTCAATTTCATTGAGGGCTGCATCAAGGTTGTCTTTGCCCTCGGGGGGGCTGGAGTGGGCGTGCCCAGGGGGCATGGCCAGCTTGACATCACTCATGTTGGGGGCACCTGTGGTGGCCCGAGCGCTCTGCTAGAGAAAACAGGCTCCCGAGCTCCGTTCTCGGCTGCTACAGCCTCCTGCAACCCTCTGCCAGCGAAAACGGAACTTTTGACCCTCCCAAGCTCCGTTTTTGCTGACAGAGGCACCGCAGGCTAGTCCTTTGCTGTTTCTGGGGTGGCCCTGCCGGCCAGATCTAGCCAGCAGGCCTTGAGTTTGACACCCCTGCTCTAAGCAGAAGAATAGCATATTATTCTTTTTTTTATGTTTTAGTTGATAGGAGTTGCAAATAAGTATCAATTAACAATTAATTTTAGTCAATAAGCACTAGAAATGCTGTGGCCCAAACTTAGGAGTTTATAAAAAGGTGGTATAAATGTGTACATGTAAATTATGATTCTCCAGCATTTTTCCCTATTAATTACTACCTACTTTATTATTATTGTTAAATTGAAGGCTCTAAAGTTTGAAGCAGGAATAGCCTTTTTCACATGCAACATTTATGTCCTAATTGCAACACTATTCTCCCTAAAGTAGAGTTTTAATATTAAACCTCCCCACACACATAAAACTGTACTGCATGAAATATATGAATTATCATGTACTAAAGAGGTATGAGTTAACCAAGGAATTTTCTCCATCAGTTAATCATCATATAGAAAAATAACCTCAGTTATAAAAGTTGATGTTGATCCAGAGGTGGGTTTCAGCAGGTTCTGACCAGTTCTGGAGAACCGGTAGCAGAAATTTTGAGTAGTTCGGAGAACCGGTAGTAAAAATTCTGACTGCCCCCATCTATTCTCTGCCTCCCAAGTCCCAGCTGATCGGGAAGAAATGGGGATTTTGCAGCATCCTTCTCCTGGAGTGGGGTGGGAATGGAGATTTTACAATATATCCTTCCCCTGTAGTGGGGAGGGAATGGGGATTTTGCAGTATCCTTCCCCTGGATTGGGGAGGAAATGGAGATTTTACAGTATCCTTTCCCTGCCACGCCCACCAAGCCATGCCCACCAAGCCACGCCATGCCCACAGAACTGGTAGTAAAAAAATTTGAACCCACCACTGATGTTGATGTTCCTATGAGAGTACCAATGACTACAGCATAGCTTGCTGTTGAGCTTTCTGTGCTAATCATGGTTTATTTTTGAATTTTTGCCTAGATATTTATATTTGAAAACAACATCTACTATTGTGCTCATATTGGGAAGCAAGCGATCCGTGTAGTCTCCACTGGAAAAGACAAAGTTATTTTTAACGGACTCAGCGATTGGCTGTACGAAGGTAAGATGAGAATTGAAAAGTTGGCTAATTGGTTAATATTTCTGAGATGGTCTCTTTTACATTGCTAGAAATTACATGAAATAATTATACAATAGGAAGGGATTCTGGTCCAGTTTCCTATGACGGCAGCTCCGATTCAAGTTCTGTAAAAACTTTTAATGGAATAAATTATACACCCTTTTAAGACCCTCCCTATAAGCCTTGGAATTTTTATTGCCTTGCAATCTTAGTCAAAATCATTTTTTTATTTTGAAACAGGGAATGACAGAAAACAACTTTGTTCCATCTTCAGCGTGACAGTTATTCATAACACCTCTCAATCATGTTATATGTATGAGATACATTCAATTCTTCATTTTTTTCTCATAGTTTCCTCTCCAAGCTTTTTCTTGCTTGCTTGCTTGCTTCTTCCTTCCTTCTTTCCTTCCTTCCTTCCTTCCTTCTTTCTTTCTTCCTTCCTTCCTTTCTTTCCTTTCTTTCTTTCCTTCCCTCCCTCCTTCCTTTCTTCTTTCCTTCCTTTCTTCTTTCCTTCCTTCTTTCTTCTTCTTTCTTCCTTCCTTCCTTTCTTTCCTTTCTTTCTTTCCTTCCCTCCCTCCTTCCTTCCTTTTTTCCTTTCTTCTTTCTTTCCTTTCTTTCCTTTCTTTCTTTCCTTCCCTCCTTCCTTCTTTCCTTCCTTCCTTCCTTCCTTCTTTCCTTTCTTCTTTCTTTCCTTTCTTTCCTTTCTTTCTTTCCTTCCCTCCTTCCTTCCTTCTTTCCCTTTCTTCTTTCTTTCCTTTCTTTCCTTTCTTTCTTTCCTTCCCTCCCTAAAAGCACACACTCAAGAACAAACATTGTACAGCTAGTCCTTCCTTACCAGTACTTGTTCATCAACTATTAGAAGTTATGATAGTGCTGAAAACAAGAGATTGTGACAGATCCTCAAAGTTGTGGTTGTTGCTGCAATCTCATGGTAATGGATTCATGATTCGGGTAATTGCAGCCCACACATCAGGTTCATGTGATCTCCATTTGCAACGTTCACAGCCCTAGTCCAACAAGCAAAAAGTCAGCAAGGAAGATGGCAGGAAATTAACCTGTCCACTTAACCTGTGGTGCTTTGCTTCATGACCACAGTGGAATGGATGTCATATGTCAGTGCAGTCATATGACATTTCACTTTATGACCATTTCATTTAGCAATGGGGTGGTCTACTTTATCAAATGCTTTACTGAAGTCCAAGTAAATTATATCGACAGCATTCCTCTGGTCCACTAATTTTGTCACTTTGTCAAAGAATGCAATAAGATTAGTCTGGCATGATCTGTTTTTGACAAACCTATGTTGGCTTTTGGTTATTACTTTGTTTGCTTCTGGATGTTCGGTGATTCGTTGCTTGATTATCTTTTCCAGAATCTTCCCTGGTATTGAGGTCAGGCTGATAAGTCTGTAGTTTCCTGGATCTGTTTTTTTTTTTCCTTTTTTTGAAGATGGGAACTACATCAGCTCTTTTCCAGTCCTCTGGCAGTTCCCCTGTGCTCCAGGATCGTTGAAAGATGATAGTTTAGTGGTTCTGAGATCTCGTCTGCCAGTTCCTTCAGAATCTTGGGGTGTAATCCATCTGGTCCTGGTGATTTGAATTCGTCTAGGGTAGACAAGGGTTCACTTACCATTTTCTTCCCTATTTTAACTTGTGTTCCTAATCTGTTTTTTATGGTGCTGTTTTTGATAGATTGGATTGTTTTTTCCTTTTGTGTAAAGACAGGTGCAAAAAATGATTTAAGTATTTCTGCTTTCTCCCTGTTGCTTGTCACCTTCTTGCCACTTTCTCCCAGCAATGGGCCAATTATTTCCTTGACTTTTTTTCTTGTTTTTAATATGTTGGAAGCAACTTTTTTTCTTATTTTTTACTTTCGTCGCGAGCCTTTGTTCATTGTGAGCCTTAGCTTTCCTCACTTCATCTTTACAGGCTTGGGCTATTTGCTGATATTCTGCCTTAGTTATTTGCCTCTCTTTCCACTTTTTATACTTGTCCTTTTTGTCTTTCAATTTGTTAGAGAGTTCTTTATGCAGCCATGCTGGGGTTTTTTTGAGATCTATTATTTTTTTTTCTTCATTGGTATTGTGCTAGACTGGGCTTTTATAGAGACGACACCATCTTCTGACCACCCAAGAATGTCAACTTACTGTTGACATTCTTACTGTTGATTTTTCCTTAAGAATGACCAAGTCATAAGTCACTTTTTTCAGTGCCATCATAACTCTGAACGGTCACCAAGCAGACTATTGTAAGTCAAGGACTACATGTACCAAGGACCCTACAAATGATGGATTTAAATTAACTGCTGCTTTCCTGTAGAATATCACTACCTTGTTTATTGATTTATTAGATTTGTATGACTGTGCACCTTAAAATATAACTGAGAGATGGGTGTCAGGTATGAACAATCAGACACAGATATGCAGAGTTCAGGCTAACTACTTTATTACGTTCTGCCTATAATACAGGAAACTTCCCAGTTTGGTAGTCTACTCTTGGGAGCAACTCCAAGGAACTTGGGGGGGGCGGCGGTAGAGATAATACTAGCCCTTTTGCAGGTGCACAATGACTCCAGACTAACTCTGTGCTTCATCCCTCCTCCCTATCAGAAGTACTCCCTGGGTGCTTCTCAACAATGGGTGAGAGACTGTGACTGACCCAAAGTCATCCAACGAATCCCAAGATTGAGTAGGAAAAAAATCCTGAGTTGATGGAATGTGCAACTGAAAGAGTGGAGGAGGAGCAGATGTCCCGAGCGTTCTGCCAGCAAAGACGGGCTCCTGAGTTCTGTTTTTGGCTGCGACGGTTTCCAAACGGAGCTCAGGAGGGCTGTGGGCCGGTCCTTTGCTGTTTCCAGGGCAGCCCCACGGGCCAGATCTAAGCATCCCGCCGGCTGGATCCAGCCTGCGGGCCTTGAGTTTGACACCCCTGTAATAGAATCTGTGGATGATCTTGGAGGACAAGGAAAAGAGATGCTGCCTAGCAGTGGTGGGTTGCCCCCGGTTCGGGCCGATTCGCAAGAACCGGTAGTAAAACCGGTGGGAGGCCCCGCCCACTATCCTGGATGTTGTCATTGGTGATCTGCGCATGTGCAGAAGTTTCTGTGCATGCGCAGAAGCAAAGCGCATGCGCGAAGCAATCAAGGCATGCGATTCCGTTGCAAACTGGTAGTAAAGATAAGTAGAACCCACCCCTGGTGCCTAGGGTAATGATTAGACAAGAGAAGGAGTAGACCTCAGGGGCTTAATAGTTAGAGAAAGAAATATAAGAAGGACCCACCCTAATGGATGTAGGGGTTAAAAGTGGCAGGGGGAAATCTGGGAAGAATCTGTCAATGTAATCTTTCAATAAAGTAGGTTTAGCTATCCTAGTGTTTTCTGTCTGGTTTATCCAGGTGGGCTGATACTTTACAGTCTATTATGGTTAGTTTTAATCTTCTGTGGGCTTCAAGCTTTTACATCAAAATATCTAAACACCTTGGAAAAGGTTGGTGCCCCAATCTGAAGACTGTGTTATTAAAAGTTAGATAATTTGTCCATTTCAGTTGTGATCGGTTTTAATTAAGACATGCCCTCTCTCGCAACTTTAGGGTAGCAGTTGTTTTCTTCCTTTTGGAGTGCCAGGATGCATTTGCACGCAGTTGTTAAGCGATGATTATGCTGTCAGCAGAGGAGCCCTTGTGTTTGCCGAAAGGCCATTCTGGATCAAATATGGCAGATGGCCCTTTCATATCTGCTTATAGAGTTATAATGCAATGCCAAGTTATATTTCCAGCTACATGGCCTCTCCTTTCGTACATCAATCAAACGTTGCTTTGTATAGCCAGATCGCATAGGTTCTTTCGGCATTTCTTGGAAGATGAGGTGAGGGGGCAATATGAATAAATGGAATAATGTGTCAAGTTTGGCATGCTGTCAAAACACCCAGGCCATGCTTTCAGCCTCCTCCTTTCCTGCTGGAGTGACTGTTTTCACCGTTCAAGAGAAGAAACAGTATCAGCTGGTTGGTTCAGAACTTAAAGATGCTTTCCTTGCACAGTAGGGGACAAGCTAAATGTCCCCATAAAGCAGTGTAATAAGGAGTGAATAGGCAGCTTCATTGCTGAGACGGATAAATAGCCTTCTTTGTCTCAACTCACAAGCTATTGAGGTTGGAAAGCCTCAGAATAAGATATACCGTATTTTTCGGAATATAAGACGTACCGGAGTATAAGACGCACCTACCTTTTTTGGTGAGGAAAAGAAGAAAAAGAAATCTCCCTCTGCCTCTGAGCTATTTTGCCTCGTTGCAGCAAACAGCCTGCTTTACTTTCATTTTCGTTTTCAGCATAGCTTGATTAACCCAAGGGAAAAAAAATCTGCTCCAGCAATTTTTTTCTTTGCAGCAAGCAGCAGAGTCCTGTGCAAGCTGAGAGCAAATCAGCTGAGAGTCGGGAGGCCAATCCAATCAACTTGTGCTAATTAGCCTGTGCTGAAGCTGAAAGGAGCTGTTTTTTCTTGCTGTTTGCTTGCAAGGAGGTAACTGCTGCCAGGCAGAGGCCAAAGAGTGGGGGCCAGTGGGTGGGTGGGGCTACATTTGGTGTATAAGACGCATCTAAATTTTCACCTCCTTTTAGGATGGGGAAAGGTATGTCTTATACTCCGAAAAATACTGTTTTAGAAATGCAGAGACATATACCTGCCTATCCTTACTTAGCTTATAATATTGTGATATTCATTCCTAAGCAAGCCAGCTAACTCCAGCTGGCTTGCTCAACCTGTGTTAGCGGAGTTCTCAGAGAGAGAGAGAAAATAATATAACTGAAAAGATGGGAAGGACATAGAGATAGTCCTCAACTTACAATAATTTGTTTAGCAACTGTTCAAAGTTACAACAGAATTGAAAATAGTGACTAATAACTGTTTCAGCAACCCCAAAGTCGTGTGATTAAAATTCGGGCATTTGGCAATGTGCATGTATTTACAATGGTTGCAATGTCCGAGG